ATATATATATATATATATACTGAACATAGCTGGGCATGGTTGTATATGCCTCTAATTCCAGCATTTGGGAAGGTGAGGCAGGATTGCCACAAGTTTGAGGTCATCCTGGGCAACATAAAATTCAAGTCTAGCCTAAACTACATAGTGAGACCCTGTCTCACACAAATTGTAGTGACCCTCCACCTAAATCAGAGTTTAACAATTAAAATCTGATTGAACAATTGACATTTTTCCATTGTACACATGTACAAATTTTTGCTTTTTTTTTTTTTTTTTTGTATCTTTTTCTTAATTGGCTGTATTTATGATTCTTGAGTTGGCAACAATCTGGACCAAAAGTGGTTCTAAATATTCCTGTCATATCTATATCTATATATCTTCATCTCTATCTCCATCTCTATATATCTATGCCTATATCTATATGTCTTTTAATTATTTTTTATTTTTATGTAATTTTTTGTTTTTTAATTTCTTATTCTTTTGGTAGAAGATCTCACTATAAAGTTTAGACTCACAGTGATCCTCCTTTCTCAGCCTCCCCAGCACTGGGATTACAGGCGTGTGGTACCACACCTGGTTTCTGGGCCAGCATGGCATGTGGGGTGGGGATGGCATGGCATGCAGTACCTGGAATTGAACTCAAGACCTTGTGCTTGCCAGGTCAGCACTTATTCCCCTGAGCTATAGCCCTGACCCTAATATTTTATTTTAAAGAGAATAAAATTTCAAAAGGTAATAGGAGGATAACAATGATTAATACATTGCATATTGGGGGCTGGGGAGGTGGTTCAGTGGAATAAGCGCTTTCCTGGCAAGCGCAAGGCCTGAGTTCAATACCCAGTTCTGCCAAAAAAAAAAAAAAAAAATGCATATTGTTATCTTTAAATTAAGAGTAAAGGGGGCCAGGGAGATGGCTCAGTAGGATAAGTGCTTGACTGGCAAATACAGGGATCTGAGTTCAATCCACGGTTCTGGAAAAAAAAAAAAAAATTAAGAGTATAAGATACTGGCATTTAGCTGGGGAGATAGCTTGATAATCTAAGTAAGTGCCTGCCTGGTAAGTGCAAGGACCCAGGTTCGATCCCTGGTACCGCATGCCGTGCTGGCCCCAAAGCTGGGTGTGGTGGTACAAACCTGTAATCATCCCAGCACTGGGGAGGCTGAGACAGAAGGATCACTATGAGTCTGAACTACGTAGTGAGATCCTATCAAATAAGTTTAAAAAAAATTGACATTTAATTGTCCAAACAATATTAGCACAAGCCCTTCTTTTCAATGAACTAAGAGAAATTAGTATGTAACTATCTTCTTCTTTTCTGCATTTCCCCATCACAGTTTCTGTTTCTTTTTGAAGTTTCTTCTCATTTTACAATATCTGTTGTACATTTTGAATCTTATTCTTTCACCTCCTCACACTAGGAAGATAATACAATGTTTATACACATGTGTCCGGTTTATTTGCCTTATGAATATGGCCTTGAGTTCCTGCCAATGTATGTTTTATGTCTTTATAGATATATGTATTTTTCTTCTGCCTCTTTGGAAAGCAAGGTATAGACATCAAGACATTCCCACCTGCTTGACCACAGTACCATTATCATGCCTACTGCCATATGACTTCCTGGTATCCACTTAGATATCCCTAGGGGTGCAAGTATATCTTTCATAGCTAGTTTTCTTTCTATGACAAGGATTCGATATAAATTCACACACTGCATAATATTGTAGCTTAATTTCTTAAGGTTAGATTCTAGAGTAGTTCCCTTGGTTTGGTTTTGTTCTGTGTTGACATTAACTTTGTTTTGTTTTGTTTTGTTTTTTGAGACAGTGTCTCACTAGCCCAGGCTGGCCTCAAACTCAAGGCGATCCTCCTGCCTCAACCTTCCGTGTACTGGGATTACAAATATGTGTTACCATGCTCGGCTTGACATTAACTTTTAAAGAGACCAGACTAGTTGTCTTATAAGATTTTGTGCTTTCTGGGTTTGCTTATTTCCTTATGACATGACTTAACCCCTTCCTCTAATGATTGTGTTTATCTGATATACTATAAGTAAACCTGAGGCTTTAACAGTCAATCTTAATTTTTGTATTTTGGGTACACTATAAGTAAATCAGAGGTCAGAGTGGCTCCAGGCTGCACGGTTTGGTGACCACGTACCACAGGTGTTATGTGGTTTATCTCGTACCGCTGCAGAAGTCACATAATGTAAATGGCCTTGTCTATCACTGTGCAATGCAGAGCCTCATCTCTGATAAAAGGAAAAGCAAGAAGAAATCGCAGTGATACACCTATTGCCCATGATAGGTCTTTTGCCTATTTGCTTATTTCCCCTTAAAAGTGCTGAATACTCTCAGGCTGCCCCAAGGGTCCACAGTGTGCAGTGACTTGACCTACTGAGGACTGGTCCTATCATGGCACAAATGGGGAGATCCAGGAGCCACTCAGCCAGTACCTAGGCCTACTATTTGCTCTACATTGAATCAGTTTTTCTCCATCTATTTTCACATCATACCAACAAATGCATAGGAAAGAATAGACCCTTTATTTATTTGTGTGTGTGTGTGTGTGTGTGTGTGTGTGTGTGGCCAGCTCAGCCCACTAGGGGGCGGGGCTGGCTGGCATGTGGTGCTGGGAGATTGAACCGTGGTCCCTGTGCTTTGCTAAGCTTGTTCTAAGTAGGTGCTTTAGACCACTGAGCCATCTCACCAGCCCCAGAATAGACCATTTCTTTGTTTTAAAAATAAAGGAGGAAGTACTGAATGTTCAGCTAAATGGTAGGGTGCATATTTAGCATTATGAGGCCCTGGGTTCAATCCACAGCACTACATACACACCAAGGGCGGAAAAAAAAAAAAAAAAGCCAGAATGAAAGTGTGCTGCTTTTCTGGCTTTGGTGGCAGGAGCATTAGGCCAGCATATTCAAAACTGAGGATCTGTGAAGTTCTGAACATAGCCCTTGTGAATGAGCCAACTTGGGTGGTCTCCAGATAGAACCTGCCCATCCTTTGGTCTGATGTTAAGCAGGAGATTCTGCCTTTTAACTGCCAAAAGTTGTTCATTCTTCCCTGCCTCTTCTAGCATGGGCAATAAAAGGTCAACAGTGAGAAGGGCCGAACTTTGAGGAGGAAACCCAGACTCACTGGGATGGGAGCTGTGTGACCTTGCAATACCTGAGGCTCAGGCTTGAGTAGAAAGGGGAAAGATGAAAGGCAGGTTCCTGGGTCTGTCCCCCCACCATCACTGTACCTGGTGACTATTAGAGACAGAGTCCCAGACTCCACTGGGACTCCCTGAATCCTTGCCCACATTTTCACAGGCTCCCTAGCTGCGCTGTGTGTATATTGTAGTTTGGTGAGAGAAGTTCTAGGAGCCCCAGTGCCCAATTTCACTGGACAGCACCCCAGGCATGCCGAGCAGTACTGGGTTCTGGTATCTTTGTGCTCTCCCTGGTGTCTGTGCTGTGAGAGGCACAGGCATGACACAGAGGTCTGGGACAAGCCAGTCTTCACAGATCTTTGGTGCTTTTCCCCAGGGAATGGACCAGGGCTCCCTGCCACAGATAGTGATGCTACAGTGGCCTTGGTCCTGCAACAAGAGTTTGGCAGGGAAGGTACATCTGCCCAGGATGATAGCCTGGAGGAGAAGGGGTTGTTCTTCTGCCAGATGTGTCAGAAGAACCTCTCAGCTATGAACGTGACCCGGAGGGAGCAGCACGTGAACAGGTAGGAGCAGTGCAGACCTTCTCCTTTCCCGTGGAGTGACCTGAGGGCGCTCCCATGGCTCTAGCAGGATTCTAGACATTTAAATGATAATAGCACCTCAGTGTGATTAGCATACCTTTTTCTTTCTAAATAATTTTATCAAGATAGAACTTGTGGCCAGGCAGATAGCTCAGCAGACTAAAGAGACTGCTTAGGCAGGCACACCTTGATCCCCACATGCGCCCCGGGTGCACTAAGACAGGACTGAGACTGGGTGTGGTGGTGTGCACCTGTAATCCAAGGGTTTGGGAGGCTAAAAATAAGAGGATCACTACGAGTCCAATCTGTGTTGTAAGACTTTGTAGACCCTCTACTAAATACATGAAAAAAAAAATCTCATTCATTCCAACCACTTAAAGTACATTGGCCCATGGCTTTTGTTGTTACAACCACACAGTTGTACAGCCAGCATCACCATCAGTTTTGGCTTTGGGCCACTTACTCCCTGTTGCTCCTTCTCCCTCATTTCCCTGATAATGACTAACCAACTTTCTGTCTCTGTGGACTTGCTTATTGGACGCTTCATGTAAGTGAAATCATGCAATACTTGCCACCCATTGTGTCTGTCATTCACTTAATATCTTGTTTTCAAGGGGCTGGGGAGATGGCTCAGTGGAATAAGCACTTCCCTGGCAAGCGCAAGGCCCTGAGTTCAATCCCTGGTTCGGCAAAAAAACAAAAAACAAAAAAAATATCTTGTTTTCAGAGTTCACCCATGGGACCTTTATCAATGTGTCACTCCTTTTCACAGTTGAGTAGTAAGTAGCCCATTGTATGAAAATACTGCATATTTATTGTTTCATTTATCAATAGACACTTGGGTTGTTTCCACCTTTGGCAAAAGTTTATGTCATGGTGAAACCCTAGCTTTTAGTCCTTTAAGGCATATGTTTAAGAAGGATTTCTTTTGGCTGGCTCAGGTTGCCTTAAGGGTGGGTCTGGTGTGGCATGTGGAGCTGGGGATCGAATCACAGTCCCCTGCACCTGACTGGGTTTGCCCAAGCAGGTGCTTTAAACAACTGAGCTAACATGCAAGCTCCCCAGGCATATGTTTAAGAATAAAATTTCTGGGGGCTGGGGAGATAGCTCAGTGGAATAAGTGCTTTCCTGGCAAGCACAAGGGCCTGAGTTCAATCCCCGGTTCTGCCAAAAACAAACAAACAAACTTGGGGCCGGGGAGATAGCTCAGAGAAATAAGTGCCTCTCTGGCAAGCGCAAGGGCCTGAGTTCAATCCCTGGTTTCGCAAAAAAAAAAAAAAGAATAAAATTTCTCGCTCATAAGGTAACTGTGTTTAATTTATCCTTGCTTTCTGTGGCCACCTTTGCTAACATACCTAAATTTAGTGTTTGGAGCCAATGGCCAGGAGCTGTGCTGCCCATGTGAAAAGATGGTTTGGGGGAATGCATGTAGGCTATCATGTCCATGTTGACTTGGATGTAGCCTTTGCTATGATCCACATCACTGGAGAGAATGGTTCTCTTCTGTTTACTGTCTTCCTCCAGGTGCTTAGATGAGGCTGAAAAGGCATTAGGACCTTCCATGCCTCAGATCCCTGAGTGTCCAATCTGTGGCAAACCATTTGTCACCTCTAAGAGCCGGATCAGCCACCTGAAGCAATGTGCAGTAAAGATGGAAGTGGAGCCCCAGCTCCTGTTGCAGGCCGTGCGGATGCAGACAGCTCTGCCTGAGGCGGGCAGCAGCCCTCCGGCACCCAGGTGATGTAAACGAAGAGAAGAGAATTAAAGAAGCCAAGTAATGGTGTTTGTACTGGATTTGACTTTTTACAAAGCTTCCTGTAGGGTTGGAGTACAGTAGAGCCCTCTTGGATTCTGTACATGGTAGATATATTTGAAGAGGAAGTCAGGTGCAGCCTAGAAGGGACTCAGGAGGGCACAGATTTTGCATGCACACATTGGTGTCGGTGGAGAGAATCTGATAGTTTCCTTGAGGTCCTTCTTATGGTTTTTCCAGTCCACAGTGATCCTGTGGTGGCTCTAGAGAGTCGAAGGATTTGGTACTTACTTTAACTTTTCTGTGTCTTGGCTGGTCAGCATGACTTCAGTCTTAGTATAGTTCAGTTTTCATATTGTTCATATCAGATTATTCAGCACAGTCCAAAAGGACGAAACAGCACCACAAGACTTTTTTTTTTTTCTTTTTTTAAAAAAATTTTTCCAGAGTTAGTGCTTGCATGTTAAAATAGGAAGCTTCTCTGAGAGCTGGGAAACAAATCCTTGCATGCAGACCACAGACACACCAATAGTGAGGGTCAGCTTTGCTCACAGTGCCCCTGCCACTGAGGACAACCAAGTTAATGCCAACTTCAAGCAGAATGAAGTTAGCGTGGGCCCCTGACTTCTCATTTGGGGACTTCTTCCCTTTGACAGCTGGTGAAAGCAAAGCAAAGGAAGGCCAAGGTTAGTGGCTGTTTGTCCTGACTACTGCCTTACACAAAGCTATGGGTGGCAGGGCTGGCAGAGATCTGAGATCTCAGAGTAGAGAGGATTCTGTTTTATTTTTGTTTTTGTGGTACTGAGGATTGAGACAAGGGCCTTTGAACTGAGCCACAACCCAGCTCTTTTTTCCTTTTTTTTTTTTTCTATTTGAGACAGAGTTTCACTTTGTAATAGAGTGTGGCCTTGAACTCATTATATAACCTAGGCTGACCTTGAACTTGAATGATCCTCCTGCCATAGCTTACATCTAGGGTAGCTGCTATGCTGACAGTTGTGTCCGTCTGCTAAGAACTTGGCCATATAGTGTCACAAAAATTGCCCAGACCCTCTCCTTTTTGAAACTTCTGATGTTTCGCCAGGATTGAATGAGCCCATGAGAGCCAAAGCGTGATGGCTCTGTGCAGGAAATGTACTCCCCTTTCTAGTTCATCCCACATGAGGCAGACAGGCCCAGTCTGGGGAGAGGCCTTCTCTGACCTTTCTCTGTGGTTGCCTTTCAGCTTTAGCAACCTTGTTGAAGGTTGGAAGCGGAAAAGAGCCACAAACAAGAAGGAGCCACAGAAGAGGCGGAAGATCAGTAAACCTGAGGTGCCATCTGAAGACCTTTTGGTAGCCATGGCTCTGTCCCGATCTGAAGTGGAGCAGGGTCCACCTGTGCCTGCACTCAGACTGGAAAGTGCTTTTGCTGAGAGGACAAGGCCAGGAGCAGGTACATGTGTCTGGGAGCAGAGGCTCTGGGCAGAGCTCGCAGCTCTGCTGCCAGCTGAGAGTTGATGAGCAACAGCTTCCAGATGAGTGGACAGATGCAATACTGACTGTTCTTCTGTTTATTTCTAGGGAGGAAAAGTCGCAAGAGAAAACTCCTGGTGTCCCCACCACAGTTATTAGTCCAGGACTCTGATACCACAGGTAGACAGATAGAGGATCGCGTGGCCCAGCTCCTTTCAGAGGAAATGGAACTGTCTAGCACACCACCACTTCCTGTCAGCAAGATTCTCAGGGAAAAGCTAGAAGAGACAGGTTGGCGTCTGCAGCTGCCTGAAGAAAAGGGGAACTTACTGTGGGAGGGCAGTGCCCTCACTGGAGCCTGGGCTATGGAGTCTTTCTACACAGCGGGCCTGGTCCCTCCCATTGTGCCCAAGCGGCTGACCAAGGTGAGCCCTACCCCTCTTGGCATACTAGTGGACAGGCTTTGGGAAGAAGTGAACAGCTCCAGAAACTCAGCCATGGTTACCATAGTTAAGGGGCAGAAAGTCTAAAGCAGATGGGGGAAGAAGCCAAAGCCCCTCTGCTATAGCTTATTTCTCTTTGTAGAAACCAAATAGCAGTTCCTGATAGCCAGGTGTGGTGGCATACACCTGTAATCCCAGTACTCAGGAGGCTGAGGCAGGAGGATCACTGTGAGTTTGAGGACAGCCTGGGTGGTATAATGAGTTCAAGGTCACTCTGAACCACATAGTGAGACTCTATCTCATAAAACAAATGAGCAAACAATGAAGTTATTAGAAAAGAGAGAACTTTGATACCAAGAGTTCAGTGTTTTCTTGGAGAGTTCATTTAAAATTCAGAACCCAAACTGGGCCTGGTGGCACATGCCTGTAATCCCAGGAAACAGGGAAGATGAGGCAGGAGGATTGCAAGTCCATGCCTGGTCTGGACAACTTAGCAAGATCCTGTCCCAAAATTTAAAATAAAGTAATGTAAAGTAAAATACAGTGTAGTCTCCAGGGCCCATGCCCAAGATGGCTGGGCCTAAGAACCTGCATTCTACATGGATGCTCCATACAGTCCTGCTGTAGCTGGTCTGAATCAGTTTCTAGACAGAAGAGCAGCAGGCCTAGGGCCTTTCTGACTCTGATGAACCTTTGCAGATTGAGATGCCACACGATGGCCTGGCCATGGCAGGATCTTTTTGACTCAGTGATGGGGAGAGCTTCCCTAGCTTGCTCCAGGCCGCTACTGGGGACAACACTTTCTTGTGCTCAGTGGTTTTAAGTCTAGCTGTGCATGTGTGTGTATGTCAGTGACAGTGACCAGACAGGATTTTTTTTTTTGTATTTAAAATATTTTATTGGGGGCTGGGGAGATGGCTCAGTGGAATAAGTGCTTCCCTGGCAAGCTCAAGGGCCTGAGTTCAATCCCCGGTTCTGCCAAAAAAAAAAAAAAAGCTGTTTAATTCAGTTTGGGCTGGTGAGATGGCTCAGTGATCTAAAGCACCTACTTAGAACAAGCTTAGCAAAGCACAGGGACTGCGGTCCAATCCCCCAGCACCACATGCCAGCCAGCCCTGCACCCTGGTGGGCTGAGCTGGCCACACACACACACACACACACACACACACACACTAAATAAATAAAGACGTGAACCTACAAAAAAAAAAATAAAATAAGATATTTTATTTTAGTAAGAAACAAGTATCAATGAGACAGTTTCAAAGTTGATTAATAGGACAGTTTCAATAATTAATACATTGTACATTATCTTCTTAGTGGTTATCCATATTACAAGAAGCAGGCAGTAAGATGTTTGATATTCAGACAGATAGTGAGGTTAAGCTTAACAGCCTAGTTGTATTACCATACAACTATGGTAATAACAATCAGCTTCTCTTCTGGAGGGTTAACAACCTAAGTTTGCAGACCAAAATTAGAGAAAAAGGAGGGCCGCAAGGAAAGCCAACATTTTGGCCCTAGCCTTCCAAGGTCAATTAAGACTCAGGACATATGAGAACTTGTACTGTATCATCATGTAACTCAGTAGTATCCCAAATTTTCTGATCAAGGAGATTATGGGTCAAAGAGGAAGGTGATCAATGATGTAGAGTGTGCCTAAGGAGAGTCACCTGGAGAGAAAACATTCTCTCAGAATTTCACAGAGAGCACATTGACCAAGCAATGGCTGTGACTCATCCACATGGCTGACACTGACAAAAGATCTACAGTCTGAGGTACAGGATCTCAGGATAAATTCTGAGGGGATTTCACTGATCTTATCAGACCCAAAAGCTACAACTCTTGTTGTATAGGTCCTGCTTTATCTTAGTCTTAACCACCCAGCAGAAAAGTATAAAAACGAAGTATAAGAAGTAAAACCATGGTGTTATGTTGAGGTGTAGGGGACTCAGGTCAGCAATTTCTGACATTGCAAGTCAAGTGGAAGACCCAATACTATTATGGACTACTGGACTCTTTTAGAATATTTTGCTGAATTAACACACTTATAATATTCAAATGACGGAACTAAACAAAAAAGGGGATACAGATGAATGTCCATTTTGTATCTGTGTATTCAAAATCGTTAGGATAGCTATATAGTTACATTCTCTTAATGAATAGAGGGATTTGTTCTAATAGTGTTTGTAAATAGGATATCATGTCTGCATTTTGTACAGCAAATAACCACTAGGAAGAGAGTATGCAATGTGTTAATTATTGAAACTGACCTACCAATTTGATTTGAAACTGTCTCATTGCTATTTGTTTCTCAATAAAATTATGGAAAAAAATTAAAAAAAAAAATAGGGGCCGGGGAGATGTCTCAGTAAAATAAGTGGTTTCCTGGCAAGCACAAGGGTCTGAGTTCAATCCGCGGTTCTGCCAAAAAAAATAAAAATAAAAATAAAATAAAATATTTTTTTAAAAAAAGAAGCAGGCAGGATATCCTGTCCAAACACTATAAGTACAAATCTTTCTGCTCATTGAATTAAGCGAAAGCTGTATATCTGTCCTAACTATTCTGTATATACAGAATGGTCCTTCTTTTATATCTCCTTTTTTTGTTTAGTCCTGTCAGAGATGGGTAATCCATTGGCATCTAAATACTATAGGTGTGTGAATTCAGCAAAACAATCCAACACAGTCCAGAAGTCCACAATAGTAGTGAGTTATCCACAGAAGTTGTTGACATGAGCCTTTCACAGCTCAGCATATTAATATGGCTTTACTTTATATACCTCATTTTTGTACTTTTCTGCTGGATGGTTAAGACCAAGATAAAGCAAGACCTATATAACAAGAAATGTAACTTTTATATCTGATAAGGTTAGTCAAGTACCCTCAGGATTTATCCTGTAACCCTGTACTGCACTTTGTAGATCCTTTGTCAGTGTCTGCCATGTGGATGAGTCATGGCCATTGCTTGACCAATTTGTTCTCTGTGAAAGCCTGAGAGAATGTTTTTTCTCTCCATTTGACTCTCCCCAGGCACACTGTACATCATCGATCACATTCCTCTGTGGCTCCATAATCTCCTTGATCATAAAATTTGGAGCACAACTGAGTTACATGATGTTACAGTACAGGTTCTCCTATGTCCTGAGTCTTCACTGACCTTGAAAGGCTAAGGCCAAAATGTTGGCTGACCTTGCAGGCCTTCCTTTTCTCCAATTTTGATCTGCTAACTTAGGTTGTTAACCCTCCAGAAGAGATGGTTATTATTACCCTGCAACATAGGCATTTCGGTTTACCCTATCTGTCTAAATATCAAACTTCTTAGGCCTAACATGGAACAGGTATTTTCCATCAAGTGTTGATATGTTAAACTTTAAATCCCTACAGAATATGAAGAAGAAAAAATAATTTAAAAAAATAGGAATAACACTAAAAATAAACACATATTTTTACACAGAAATTTAGAAATCTAAGCATGTACAGCCTTGTAGCAGGACAGTCCTGTGATGACCAGACAGTATTTTGGCTTTCTTCCTTCTCACAGGTTCTCACACAGGAACCCAGGCTAACACAAAGTCTACCAGCCCACTGCAGCAGCTCCCACGCGGTCTGCAGCCCCAGAGACCCATCCCTGTCTGCCAGCCAGAGGGAGCAGCAGGCCCTGCAGGACCTTGTGGACCTGGCAGAGGAAGGACAGAGTACTAGCCTGTGGCCTTGCAATGGGGGCATGACCAGTTCTGGAAGGGCTGCAGGTGAGACACTAGGTAGGACGTTTGGGCTAGCCACCCAATTCGAGGTGGGAACAGACTGAGAGGGCAGCTCAGAACTGAGGCCGCAAGGTGCGTCCTGGTTCTAGGGAAAATGCACACTCTGGGTGCTTTCATTTTCTCTCAGAGGTAAATATAATGTAGCCACTTATGACTGTCATAGTTTTCTTAAACTTCAAACAAAGACAGGGCCATCTGGGGTAATTTTGTCTCTTTTATTGCCCTTTTGCTTCCCTTTTGGGGAAGGTTGTTAAAATGTCTTACCAGTCTGCTTTTTTTTTTTTTTTTTTTTATTTTTTTTTATTTTTTTTATTTATTTGAGAGAGAGACAGAGAGAGAGAGTGTGGTGTGTGTGTGTGTGTGGCCAGCTCAGCCCACCAGGGGGCGGGGCTGGCTGGCATGTGGTGCTGGGGGATTGAACCGCGGTCCCTGATGCTTTGCCAAGCTTGTTCTAAGTAGGTGCCTTAGACCACTGAGCCATCTCTCCAGCCCCTTACCAGTCTGCTTTGATGGAGTTGTCATCAGGTGCCACTGGGCCCAGCACAGCCAATTGGCAGTTGGCGTTCCTGGGAGGTGATACTTTCTAAATGTATAAACCCTTCTCTCAGGGTTGGATTTGGTGCCCAGCAGCCTTCCTCTGACCGGTTTTGCCTTGCCACCCAAGGAGAAGCCCCTTGAGAGGGTCGACCACACTTCGGTAAGGACAGGGACTTGGGCGCTGTGGGCTGAGCTGTGGCCTTGGCCACTCTTACTTGGTCCCCTAGTCTCTGCTTCCCCAGTGACCAATGTACTGAACAGCCCCTGAATGGACCAGCTGAGTGTCCACTGGGCCTCCTGTCATCTCTCTTGGGGCCCTGCTGCAAGGGCTTTTGTCTGAGGACACTGAATTAATTATCCTAGCAGCTGACCCCAGCATCCACTTGGCTTCAGAGTCCCAGGAAAACACTGGCCCTCTGTGCATCACCTGTTCTAGGCCTCTGTCCTGCTGGCTTCTCCATGGTTTCCTTCCCACATGAGGAGCTGACCATGCCTCTTTTGAGCAGGGTCCTGAGCCAGGCTGTAATTAATCATCCAGAGTCCTGTGTTGGTAATGAATACCATTAGAAGTTGGGCTTTCCTTAAAGGATCACAATCACCCCCAGTGACCAGCCTAAGGTCGGTACAATGCCCAGCTGGGAAGTGGCAAGTCCCAGAACAGCTGGGCTCAGGGCCCTGGTCCATCATTGTGGGTATAACCAGTCACATCCTCTTGCTAGTCACTGCTGCCTGAAACGAGCTGTGTACTACAATAGAGAACCAGAGGAAAAAGGTAGAATTTTGCTATTCTGTATCACTGACCTTATGGTAACCCCATGGTGGAACAGAGAGGGGATCCTGGCTCTTTGCTTTTCCTAGCAATTCTTAGTTGGGGACCTTGCAGCTTAGTTAGAGAAACAGTACTGGAGGGGCTGATGATTCTCTTCCTGTCCTGTTGTACAGCTCTCCCTTGGGATGCTGGCTGCTGATTTTGGTGCAATGGTCAACAACCCACACCTGAGCGATGTTCAGTTCCAGACAGACAGCGGGGATATAGTTTATGCTCACAAGTTTGTGCTTTATGCTCGGTGTCCACTTCTCATTCAGTATGTGAGTATACAGCATGCCCCTCTACTTTGCTCCCTCCCTTCTGCCCCTGACTTTCCCACCATTGCCCCAGAATATGGTTCCCTTATTGCCAGCATCATTCTGCTTCTATGGAGGGAAGGGAGAGGTGGCATAACCTCGAGGTTGGGAAATGTCAAGAGTTTTGGTTCCATTGAATGGATGCCTTCCCTGAATTATTTCTACTTTCCTCTGTCTGCATCATTATCAAGGGTCACTATTGTTCTCTTTAAGCCTGATTTGCAAGCTCAGTCTGCCAGAAAGTTCTAGAATCTGTCAAGGGAAACTAACCAGCTCCCTGAAATCCTAACATTTATTCCTAAAATGATTTGGAAAACAAAGAAATACTATGGCTGAACCTGCAGAATTCTGGCCAAGAAAATGCATGCTATGGGCCTATGTCCTTCTGCAGTATGGGACTCTGAGGCTGGAGAGTCATGAATGTCCCATATGGTCTGTTTGCTGCAGTTGATCCATAAGCCAACCTCTGTATTTCGTTTCATCCTAGGTAAATAGCGAAGGCTTCTGCGCCATAGAAGATGGAGATGAGACTCAGCGTGTGCTGCTGAGCAGCGTGAGCACTGAGGCCACCTGTGTGTTCCTGCGCTTTCTCTACACAGCGGACACTGGTCTGCCGCCCCACCTGGCAGCTGACCTGGGCACCCTGGCCCACAGGTTGGGATTGTTCTTTCCATGGACTCCCCAGTCTGTGAGAGATGGTGACAGGGTCAGAGGTTGATAGTTCAGGAGGATTGTGCTGTGGGAGTCAGGGGTAAGACCAGCAAGATCTTTTTTTTTTTTTAAATTTTTTTTTTTTTTTGCGGAACCGGGGATTGAACTCAGGCTTGAACTCAGGCCCTTGTGCTTGCCAGGCAAGTGCTTATTCTACTGAGCCATCTCCCCAGCCCCAAGACCAACAAGATCTTGAGTCCTGTTTAAACCATTTCGTTCCAAGTCTGTGATCAATGGCACCCCTCTCCAAGGCCCTGGAGCCACAAGGCAATCAGAATGGCTATCTGAAGGGGTAGACATTTACAGTGTAGGGAAGACTACCAGGCAAGGGAAGAAGGCAGCCTTCACATCCCACATACAGAGCTTTTTGATGGTCCCGGTAAGAGTAGAACAGTAGTAGCCAAGCAGCTCCCTGAGCTCTGGAAGCCTTGTTCCTCCCAGGCTGTACCAGCCCTCAGATCCCTTGGGGAAGGATGCCTGGGCCCCAGCAGTTTGAAATGTGCTAATTGGGCTGCAGAGCCAACAAGCTAATGGTCAGGTGGCCTCTCAGGGAGCTGGAGCTGGCCTGCTGTGGTTTGTCTCAGGCTTGGGATCTTTAAATTTTTAAATTTTATTTGTGTGTGTGTGTGTGTGTGTGTGTGTGTGTGTGTGTCCCCAGCTCAGCCCACCTGGGGGCGGGGCTGGCATGTGGTGCTGGGGGATTGAACCGCGGTCCCTGTGCTTTGCTAAGCTTGTTCTAAGTAGGTGCTTTAGCCCACTGAGCCATCTCACCAGCGCATCATGCATGGGATCTTGAGGGCTTCTCAGAACATTGTGATCTGCCTGATTTTGCAGTCTTCTCACCCTCAATCCCATGATCTCAAACTCAGTCTCATGTACCTCTGTGTTTGCAGGAGCAAAATTAAAGCATTTGGGTTTCTAGAGCTAGCACTGAGATGGTTCGTGGGCAGATGTGTGGGTTCCATCCTAGGAGAATGGGGAAAAGCCACAGTGAGTCTCACTGTTGTTCTTCCCCTAAAGACTTCTCTGGCCACCCACCTGGGTGCCCACAGGCAACTCCTTGCAGAATGGCAATGACTTTCAGTGTTCTGTTGCAGGTTTGGTGTGAGTGACCTTGTTCACCTGTGTGAGCAAGTACCTGCTGTGACGGACGTGGAGGGTGAACGGCAGGAGGAGGAAGATGAGACCTGTGAAAGTAGAGCAGAGAATTTCCAAGAACTCTTGAGGTCAATATGGACAGATGAAGAGGAGGAAGCAGAGACTTTTTTGAAATCTGAAGAAGAGAGGGAAAAAGTGAATGAAGCAGACATGGAAGAAATTTATGAATTTGCAGCTACTCAGAGAAAGCTGCTACAGTGGGAAAAAGCACCAGATACAGAGGAGGAGCCTGACCAGCCAGGAGAGGACAGTCCAGTTGTTGGACCTCCCATGGCAGATAACCTAGGAAGCAAACAGTTGGAAAAGGGAGAACAATTAGAGTTGCTGGGGCCAGGAAAATATAAGTCTCCAGTCCATGGGGAAAATGCAGGGCCCTCCCTCCTGTTGCCCTCAGGTGGGTGCTCAGACAGGGCAGAGTATGCAGAGGCCCCGCAGCAGACAGCACCAAAGGAGGTGCCTGGCCCCAGCTTTTGCAGCCCTCCTGGGGCCAGTGAGGCTGGGAGAGGAGACGTGCTTGTGCATTCATTTGAGGTCCCTGCTTATGAACAGGTTTTTTCATTGCCTCAAGAATTCTCTGAAATGTCCCAAATAATAAGTGAGCACCAGGAGCAGGATGACGTCAAGAAGAAAGAGGTGAAGATGGCATATGAACCCACTCCACAGCCACATCCTTGCTGCCCAGCATGGCTTCCTAGTGACAGGAATCCCAGCCGATCACAGCTTCACCTTCATCACACAAGTGATTTGTCCTCATCTATGCCCCAGTCACACAATGGTGTTCCCATGGTGCCCTCACCTAGGTTACCATCTCCATCTATACCAGCAGAGCAGGACAGTAATGTTCTCACAGTACTTAAAGAGCCAGACCACTGGAAAGGTAGAGGGTGTCATTCCATTTTGGAATGCAAAAGTAAGGGTGTCCTGATTTCCCCAGAAAAATCTCTACCCATTGACCTGACCCAGTCAGTTCCAGACCTCTCCAGTTCCACGTCCCAGGATCATCCCCCCCACATGAGCAGAGAAAATGAGGTCATCCTTTTACTAGATTCAGATGAAGAGTTGGAGCTAGAACAGACCAAAACAAAGTTGGTTTCTAATGGTCCCTCAGAAGAAAAGAATATTCTAGAAGTTAGTCACAAGTCCCCTGAGCTGTTTTCAGTCATTGATGTCGACGCAGATCAAGAGCATTCTCAGAGCCCCCTGAGGAGAGAAGCTAAGCTTGAGAATGGGGAGGGACAGTTGCAGGATCAGGATACTGTGGGCAGCACAAGGACCTCCTGGCTGATTTCCGACCGTGACAGCAGCCTCGATGAGGACAGTACCACAGATGCCTCCTGGCTTGTGCCTGCTACCCCAGTATTCAGCAGGAGCCGTGACTGCTCATCACAGACCCAGATCACAAGCCTCAGGGTCAGGCCTCCAGAGGATAAGATAGCACAGTCCTCATCCAGGGCCACCCCAGAAAACAGCCCATTGTTGGAGGCCACACAAAAGTTCTCAGTCATCACACCCCTGATGTCACCTAGGCCTCCAGGAACTTCCCACAGAGGAAGGCAGGTCCACAGCAGTCCTTCCCATTTCCAGTCCACGCGCCATAAGCTCTCTTTCCCAAGGACCTCATGTCCCATGGCAGTAGGTCTCCCTGATTTCCCTGGGCCAGTCCAGAAACTCTCACCAAAGCAGGCAGCAGTGAGTGAGGTGGTAGAACTTGGGGACAGTGAAGATGAGCAGGAGGCAGTTTCTCATCAGGTAAACAGAAGCCCACAGCTGGACAGTGACCCCCCAATCCCTGTGGATGACTGTTGGAACGTTGAGCCCCTCTCACCAATTCCAATTGACCACCTGAACCTTGAGCGCACTGGTCCCTTGAGCACCAGCAGTCCCAGTAGCATGGCCCAAGAGCCTCAGGACAGTGGTGGCTGCCACTCTGCAGGACTCCTGCGCAGCACCCCCATCCGGGCGAGAGGCAGAGCCCGAAGAGCATCTTCTGAGCCATCCTCAGGTTCTGGCTCCCTGGGGGGCAGCAGGCTGAGTTTTCTGAATCCAGCCCTCTGGGATGACTGGGATGAGGAAGGGCAGAAGTCTCCAGAGGCTCCTCCTACACCCCAGACGCCGCGTGCCCTCCGAGCTCAGAAATCAGATGGGCCAGAGACACCGAGTGAGTGGCATTAGCGTCAGAAGGGGTCTTGTCTACTAGTGGGGCGTGGAGATCGAGTGACATGAAGTGGTGGCTCACCTGGCCAGACCCTGTCATTGCCTAGTAGCCCCCTCCCCATGGAGGGAGACCAGCTGGCATTGAGCCCATGACAGTTGGTGCTTCCTGTACAGGCCTGTATGCAAACTGGTATTCTTTTGGGCACCTGATACAAATACATATAGAGGTAGACCCATTATAAAACTCAGCCATCAACCCCAGAGGTGGCAAGTCTGAGCAGTAAGTGTCTCATTTAGATGAGGCAAGTGTGGTTCCTCAGAACAGTAAATGTCAGGCCTGGGATTGTGGCTCAGTAGTAGGCATTTGCCTAGTGGGCTTGAGCTGGGTTCCATCCCCAAAACCAGAGTTGAGCATAGAATTATCACAGGCCCAGCATCTCCATGCTCACCTATCAAAAGAATTGAAAACACAAGCAGATCCTTGGCAGTGAATGTCCAGGGCAGCATTAGGCAGCGGTGGGAAGATAGACGCAGCCCAAGTATCTGTCAGCAGATGGATAAATACAGTGTGATCCATCCACCTGCTGTAACATAGGTGACCCTTGAAAACTGCTGGATAACAAGCCAGACACAAAGGGTCACCCATGAAGTGATTTCATTTCTATATAATATCAAATCTAGAGTGACAGAACAGAGGATGGGGTGCCTGGGCCTGAGGAGAGGGGGATGGGAGTGACTATTGAGTATAGTTTCCTTTGGGGTGATAAAAATTCTGGAACCATGGCAGTACATGCCTGTGATCCCAGTGCTTGCAAGTCTGAGGCAAGAGGCTGTCTATGAGTTCAAGGCCAGCCTGGTTTACATAGTAAGTACAAAGCCAGCCTGGACTAAGTAATAAGACTGTCTCAAACAAAATTTTTTTTCAAATGTTCTGGCAGGGTTGGAGATATAGCTCAGCAGTACAGTGCCTGCCTGGCAAGTACAAGGTCCTGAGTTGGACTACCAGCACACACACACAAGTTCAGGAACCAGGTAGAGGTGATGATTGGCCAATATTGTAAATGGCACATTGTCTGTGAATATCACCTCACAAAAAGCAGAACAGACTGGGTGTACCTCAGTGGTGGAGCACTCAGGACTTCCCATGTCCTGAGTTGGATCCTTAGCACTGGAAGTTAAACCTTCACAAATACAGAAAGTGTGAGGCTGCGGGTCCTGTCCACTTCCAGCTTATTTAAGGCACCCTGGGTCACTCAAAGCCACTCTTGGGAGCCAGGCACCTGCAGGGAGGAAGGGCGGGGCCAACAGCCCTCCACTTAGGGACAGCAGTGTTGAGGTTGAATGACTGCAGCCTGTGCCTCCCGCCCCCTTGAGAGCTTGGATGAGCTAAGCCACCGGCAGCACTCAGCCTTCAAGGGCTTCAAGTCACCCGAGAGTTCCTTAAAACATGGCTGACCCTGCTCTGTTTCACACCAGAGCTTCTGCTTCAGGGGACCCAAGGGACCCAGAATTTGCATTTCTCACCAGTTCCCAGGAAGGGCTGTAAAAACGGGTGCCTTGATTTTAATCTGAGGTAGACTCTGAAACAGGAGACAGAGCTGCTACTTCAGTGAGGTCACAGGGGTCTCCATGCCCCCCATTTGTCTTTATTTTATTTTTTTTAATTTTGTTTATTTATTTATTTATGTGTGTGTGGCCAGCTCAGCCCACCAGGGGGCGGGGCTGGCTGGCATGTGGTGCTGGGGGATTGAACCGCAGTCCCTGGGCTTTGCTAAGCTTGTTCTAAGTAGGTGCTTTAGACCACTGAGCCATCTCACCAGCCCCCATTTGTCTTTAAAAGACTGATTTTAGTCTGATATGGTGGTGCACACCTGCCATCACAGCATCTGAGCAGCTGAGGCAGTTGGTCAGGCTTGCTCAAGCCTAGCCTGAGCAACTTAGCAAGACCCTGTCTCAGCATAAAAGATAAAAAAGGTCTACAGATGTAGATCAGTGTGAAGACCCCAGCTTCAATCCCGAGTACTAAAAAAAAAAAAAAAAAAAAAGTAACTTTATTGGGATGTAATTCATGTAATAGTCCTTTTTAAAATGTAAAGCTATATGGTTAGGTGAATATTTATAGTGCTGTGCTGCCATTATCTAATTCCAGATGTTTTTATCAACTGAAACAAAGTTTCATACCAATTAGCAGTTACTCTACCAGTTCCTGGTATTTATTCTTTCTGTCCTTGTAGATTTGCCTATTCTGAACATTTCACAAAAATGGGATCATACAGTAGTATCCTTTTGTGCCTGGCTTCTTTTGTTCAGTATAAGATTTTGTTTTTTCTGCTGGGAATCGAACTCAGGACCTTGCACTTGGCAGGCAGGTGCTGTGCACTGAACTCTCTCCCCAGCCTGGTTTTCAAGGTTTATCCATAGTAGTGCTGTATTCCTTTTTGTACTCAGATACTGTCTGCGAGATAGACAGTGTGTAGCATTTTGCTTATCTGCTCATCCATCAGTGGATATTTGAGTTGTTTCCATTTCTTAGTTATCATGAAAATGATGATTATGGGGCTGGAGAGATGGCTCAGTGGAATAAACACTTCCCTGGCAAGCGCCAGGGTCTGAGTTCAATCCCCGGTTCCACTGGAAAAAAAAAAAAAAATGCTGATTATGAATATTCACATAAAAGTTTTTGTATGCACATTTTCATTTTTCTTTTTCTGTTTTATTGGTATATTTTAGATATAGTGATATTTGTCATACAAAATTTGTACCTGTACACGATAGATTGTGGGTTTTTTTTCTTTATGTATTTGGTACAGGGTCTCACGACGCACCTCAGACTCATAGCGATCCTTCTGTTTTCAGCCTCCCCAGCCTGGGATTGCAGGCATGTGCCACCATGCCCAGACTTGGTCGCAGGCTCAGCTCACCACAGGGGCGGGGCCAGTGCAACATGTAAGACTGGGAATCAAACCCTGGTCCCTGTGTTTGCCAAAGCAGGTGCTTGGTCCACTGAGCTATCTCACCAGCCCGTTTCTTCTTTTTCCATTTTTCTTGTATATAAATTTAGAAGTAGAATTGCAAGTGATGTGGTAACTTGTTTAGCATTTTGAGAAACAGTCTGTTTCCAAAGTAGATGCTTCATTTTATCTCCTGCCAGCAGTGTGTAGGATTCCAGTTTCCCCACCTCACCAGCACTTCCTGTTTTGTGCATTTCATTCTAGCCATCCTAGTGAAGGTGAGGTGGCTGAGCTGTATTTGCACATCTTTGATGGCTCATAATGCTGAGTATCTTCATGTGCTTATGGGCCATCAGAGTGTCTTTGAAGGAACCTGATCCTTTCCCATTTTTACATGAGTTATCTTTTTACTGTTGAATTATAAATATGTTTTCCTAATTCCTCTCAGTGTGTTTGTTATTTGTGTGCAAGGAAGCTATTGATTTTTGTGTGTTGACTTTGTATCCAGCTATGCTACTGAATTTGCTTATTAAATGTAGCAGTTTTTCTTAATGACGCATTAGGACCAGAAGCAGTAGCAGATCCACCTCTCTCATGTTAATATTTGTGCTTCCTCTGTTTTATGCAGAAGGTGCTAATCGGAAGAAAAATTTGCCCCCCAAAGTGCCCATAACTCCAATGCCAAGGTATTCCATCATGGAGACCCCGGTGCTAAAGAAAGAACTGGACAGGTGGGTGCCCTTCTGCCAGGCTTTCTCCCAGTGGTTGTTTCCTTCCTTTGCCTAACCAGGCTCAGCAGGTCTGGGCACAAAAGGATCCAGTATGTGGCTCTTCGAGTCTGGTGGCTGCCTTGCTGGGCGGGGGTGGGGGTGGGGGTGGGGGAAGGAAATTCTGCTTCTGCTCTGCAGGGATTGTGTGGCTACCCAAACAGGTGCGGGGCGAAATGCTCACTTCCCCGGGGAGTTTCCCACATTCCTTAGACATCAACAGACGAGCTTTCTTGGGTTAGGCACTGGGTGATCAGTTTCCACGCCCCATGTTGATGGGAATGGGACCCCCTCCATATAGTCTGAGTAAAGAGACCTCATTTTTAAAATAAGTTTTCGTTTGCTTTGTTTCGTTTGAGACAGTCTCGCTATATAGTTCAGGCTGGCCTTGAATTCTTGGCAGTCCTCCTTCCTCAGCCTCCTGAGTGCTGGGATACAGGCATATGTCACCGCATCCAGCTTCATTTTTCTTTTCTTTTTTTTTTGTTACCGGAACCGGGGATTGAACTCAGGCCCTCGCGCTTGCCAGGGAAGCGCTTATTCCACTGAGCTGTCTCCCCGGCCCATCCAGCTTCATTTTTAAAAGAATATAAAAAGTTCTTTATATAAAATATAAAGAATACTGCTGTTCAGCTTGGGCTCCTGGGGAGGTCACTGCTCCCACCAGCATGCAGAGCACTGTGGGGGGAAGCCTTTTGGAATACTGTATAAATTTAGGTGGCACAGGACAAATACTAACCTCTGAACGCTCATAAAAGTTGAACATCTAAGGTTTGGATCCCACAAAGCCATTACTTACATCTCTTGGTCCTTCTTACTGTGAAAGTAGTGTGGAGTATGTAGATGGGCCACACTGATGGGCCCACATTTCATCTGTATCCCTGGCAGGTTTGGAGTCCGTCCCCTGCCCAAACGCCAGATGGTTCTGAAACTGAAGGAGATTTTCCAGTATACTCACCAGACCCTCGAGTCAGACTCTGAGGATGAGATCCAGTCCTCACAGGTGCCCCGGGAGTTGGATTGCAGCCACACACTCCCCACTGAGACCTACAAGCCTTGCGGGGTGGGAGGCTGCACCCAACTTGAAGCCACTGAGGGTTCTAGTTCCAAGCAATCTGCACAGCGTCGAAAGAAGCTGCCCAGCCGAAGCATCCCACACCAGAGGAGCAGGCCACCAGCTGAGAAGCCACACGTAGGCCCTGTTGTTGACACCCAGCTCCCAGCCTCCCAGGAATCTATGGCCACCTCTGTAGATAGCAGTGACAGCTCCTTTAGCTCACAAAGGTAACCAGATGTAAGCACTGGGGTCAGTGGCACCAGCGGGTCAGAGAATGGGTATCAGGGAAGCTTACTGCCTAATGTTGAGCAGCCCACTCCAGGGTTCAAACTGCTTGAAGCCATGGCAGTTTAAAGGGCCATTCTCTGAGCCCCCAGCAAGCCTTCAGGATTTGTCTTCCTTGCCCCTGGGCCTGGGCTTCTGGCTAAAGGGGACCCCATTTGGGTTGCCCTTGCTAGAGAGCCCCAGAACCACAAGTGGCACGTAGGGCACCGTCAGGAGCATCCTGCCCCCTGGGTGGTTGTCTTGGCATGTGCCAGGCCTTAAAGAGCCATGGAGATGCTCTTTCCCTCCAAGGGGCTCCTGGTCTTGGGATGGAGAGAAAAGGTGTCGCAATGTCTGTTCTTTTCAGTTCCTCCGGGGAGTTTGGAGCTGCCTTTGAGTGCGCAGGTGATGATGAGGATGAAGATGGGGGGCTCAGCATGTCCCAGGCCAGCCGGGCTCTAGACCCAGAGGAGGCTGTGCGACGTTACATCCGCTCCAAGCCGGAGCTGTACCGCAAGGTGCTTACATACCAGCCACTAGAATTGGCGGCACTGCAGGCTGAGCTGAAGCAGGACGGCATTCGTGTGGCCATGGGCAAGCTGCTGGACACGCTGGATACCCTCTGCATTACCTTCACCACCGCTGCAGCCCGGAAGGAGAAGCTAAAGCAGAAGGGGCAGCAGCGGAGGGGCAAGAAGAAAGGGGAGTGAGATTGACAGCTCCGCCCCTCCAACAGCTGTGGATGTCTACACCAGCACCCCTCACCCCCTGGGCATCTGCAGGGTGGTCCGGCATGCAGCAGGAGACTGACTCCCACAGGCATTCTGGGGCCTCCAGGACAATGACGGTCCCATCCCCCACCCCCTCCTCTGGCCTCCACCTCTGGTGTGGCCATCTGGAGTTCCTCACCCACCATATGGACAGCCTGCCCCTCCCCCTGTCATTGCCAGTCTGTCTCTTTAGCCCAGCAGAGGCCTATCCATGAGTCCCTGAGGAGCAGGGCGTCCCACCAAGAGGCCAGCATGAGGCTGGATTCTGCCCCAGCTGCCACTATGTTCACTAGGTGCAGGCCATGCGTGTCCCAGCCAGCCAGGCTGCATTGCCAGCACACAGAGCTGCTGCCAGCAGACCCGGTGTCCAATCTTCCTGTACTGCCATGTTCCCCGTGCAGCCCCTGGCCCAGCCATTCTGCCTAGATGTGTCATCATCACCAGCAGTCTTTTCATGGGACAGTGCATGAAGGCCCAGCAGCTCTCCGCCCCCAGAAGAAGCACGGACTTTGTTGGCAGGTTCCTTCCTGCGTCGCAGCCTCCAGCACTGTGGTGGGCACAGTGGGCCTCCATGTCATGTGAATGTCCTTGTCTGTGTTTAAATACAGCGCAGCTGTTTTTATATGATGTGCAATAAAAACAAAAGGCTTTATAAAAACCTAGATGCTATCCTTCCGACAGGCCACAAGGCCAGGCGAGGAGCCCGGCTGCCTGCCACTGTCCAGCCTCTGTCTATCTTGCAGGTGTCAGGCCTGCTAGCTTTCTCCTTTGGCGCTTAGAAAATAGATGCAGGTGTTCACCCATTTCCACAGCTGGGTCTGACCCTCACCTACTCGGGTCCTCAGCATAGCCCCAGCACCTACTGCTCACGGTGAAGGCGGGTTCACAGGGGATGAAGATGTGCTAAATGTGCCTAGCAAGGGCAGCTCTGGGCCCAGAACCTGTGAGTGAAGCAACATTTTATTTTTCTCTGAGCAAAGCAGCCGCTCCTTCCAGAGGAGAAAGGGGGTTAAGATAAGCCACTGCAGTAAGGGGATCGCCATTATCAGAGATGTAGTCCTGTCCAGGGCAAGTTTCACCCCTTCCACAAAAAATTAGATGGACTCGGGGATGCAGTGTTAGGTCCAGCTACTTGCTTGAAAGGAAAAGTGTGGAACTACAGTGAGGTTGGAGAGGCAGGATGGGCAGAGGGACCTCCTCCTGGGCAAGGGGGCAGGGTGCTACCTTCCAAAAGCTTCCTGCCTGTAGGGGTAGTCACAGAGGAAAGCCCTTGAGCCTGCAGCAGAGTACTCAGTGGGCACAGCCAGATCACCTGCACTCTGTTGTATGCGACCAGACTTCAGGTCTGCCTACTTCCTATGGCTGCAGCTCCGGCCATAGCCCAGCTTATCTGAGGAGACCATAGCCCCACTCACTGGAGCAAGAGGCCACTGGCCTGGACAAGGGCCCTGTGAGAAGGAAGAGCACTGCAGCAGGAAGTCCTAGACTGCTGCTGAGTCAGGAGGGCTGAGGCCACTACCTGGCCTGCTGAGCCCACCCCAGGGGATGGAAGTCCAGAGTGAAGAAAACAGCTCCAGAGCCCCCCCCCCCCACACACACAGCACCAACCTGCCAGGAGCCAGGAAAATGAGACCCATTCAACCCTGTGTGGGCTGGCAGATGTTCCTGGGAGGATGGAAGTGGGTGCTGGGAGAGCCCTCAAGATCCTTATAGAGGAGGCTTTTCATTCCGCTCAGCATCCATCATTGGCAACCCTGGAGATTGAGCCTCTCTGTCTCCTCGCATGTGACAGGCTCACCAGGCCCTTGTGGTTTCCAATATCCTGTCAGTGGCCTGGTTTCAAGTGCCTGCACTGCACCCTATGGCTGGGTTGCAGCCACTGGTTCTGCATTCTGCCTGCCAGGGTCTTCAAGAGGCTCTAGGGTGTCTCCCAGCACCTGGCTTGCTCTGCATGCTCAGAAGACATGGCTGGAAGGGGAGGGGAAGAGAGAGGCAGACAGGGTGTCACAAAGCAGTATTTCTCGTCTTCGCCCCCAGGTCCCTCCCTGTCATTGTGCTGCTGGACGAGAGAATGACAGTCACACATGTCCTCTCCCACCAACCCAAGCTGCAGTGGGCATCAAAGCTCATCAGTCTCCTGCTCTATAGCCATTGCAGGCTCCCACTTGGCTGCTGAAAAAAACTTGGGCTCCATCACTTGGCTCCTACCTTGTCACCTACTTCCCTCAGTGCACCATATTAAATGGCTTGTTCCCTGCCACTGCAAGATGTTCTATACATTTCCTTTGCTGCAACTTTTCTCATGTTATTCACTCTGGGCCGTGTCCTTTTCCCCACATACTTTCCTGTCAGTGCAGACCATCTGCCGTCCACCCTCAGGGACCGCACTTGACTTCCTGTCATGAACAGCCACATTCTGGTGCTTTGGGGTGCAGGAGGTCTGCCCTCAGGGGCCTCTTGACTCACAGGATGACATTGTGGGATGCAGCTGGGCCAGAGGTGCCTATGAGGGGCAGAAAAGGGCAGCAAGAGGGTTAGAGAAGCAAGGGGAGGGCCAGAAGGTCAAAGCCAGGGAGCAGGGTGGCTGCAGCCTAGCCTTTCTAGATGCCGACATGGGTTCCCGACTACCTACCTAGAGCAACTATCAGTTGGTGAAATTGTCTTCCTTTTTGGTGGGTCAAGGGTGGCATGTCCAAAGCTTTGGCACTTTGGTACCACTTTCTGTTGAACATCAGGCCTGCAAGGATGCTTGGTCTCACGGTCAAGATGCCAGTGTGACTCCCCACTCTTACATTTATGGGGTAGTGACAAAGCCAGAGAGGTGAGCACAGGGCAGCCTCAGCTCACTAATTTGTCGTGCGGCTGTTGGCTTTTGAATCACACAGGAAGGAAGGTTGAGGTAGAGCCCAGCACAGGAAGAGGTGAAGACCAGAGCTAACGTGACAGCTGGGAACTTGGTGGGGACTGCAGGAGGGGTGCACCCTCGGCCCTGGCTCTTAAGTTTAGCATAATAAGCTCCCCTATCTCTTCAGGCTGTTTCCTCAGCCCTGGACAGAGCCTAGGGTCCCACGGCATGGCTGCCTAGCTATGGGGACATCAAGGACACCCTGCTGCCTATCATCTCTAAACTCGTGAGTGTGGAGATGAAGCCACCTAGCACCCCAGTCTTGGCCTCCCTGGAGCAGCAGCAAAGCACCAGAGGTAAGTAGAGTCCAGGTAGCTCCATATAGACAGAGGAGGGAGAGGGCACAGCTGGCAGGAAGGACAGAGACTTTAAGGCCTCAGCTGCTCTGGGCAGCAAGGAGACTCCAGGAAGCTATTCTTGGGGTGCTGGGGCCTGGAGGCCAGGCAGGTTTAGTGTGGGACAAACAAACATGTGCTTAGGATGGCCCAAGGGCAGGCACCAGTGCCGGCTGGCATCGCTGGACTCTGCAGACTCAACACCATCCTTCCTTCCCTGCTGTGGGACTCAGGCAGCAGGCCTCCCCCTCTGTTCCCTGCTATAAATGGGGTAGCAACATCAGAGGTCCTGAGGCTCCAGGCCGAGTCACAGCTCCTGCCCTATAGATGCTGAACAGGTCGAGGTGCAGCACCTGGGCATCTTCTAGCTGTACCCTCAAGTAAGATGAGATTCATCATTCTGAGAATAAACACAGAGGCTGTCTTGGAACAGGCCCTGATGGGCTGAGCTGGGTGTTGGCTGCAGGGTGCTCACCGCAGCCAGGCTCCAGGGCCCCAGGCTCCTCCAGGTTCCCTCTGTAGAGGCCTGAGCTTTCTTGAGCTAGAGGTCCCCTTGTCTGCCTCAGGCTGCAGGCTCAGCACTTGGCTCGGGCCTGGGGCACAGGTTCCCAGGGGATGGCTGCCCTCCCCTGGGCTTCACAGTAGTTAGGTACATCTTGAGAACAAGTGCTACTTCTTCCTGCCCAGGAAGGCTGACCTTGGCAGGACCACTCAGGCAAGCTGAGCACTGATTCCCAGGCCTGCGGAGGGGGATGAGGAGTCAGGGCAGCAGGGGACTTAAGAGCTATGGCCAGCAACACGGGTGGCCTGGTTTTGCGCAGTAGCATGGAGGCCACACCCAGGTCCCCAAGCCCAAGTGGGCAGAGCCAGGGCCAGGAAGGGATCTGTCATCCTGCACCTTCTACACTGTCCTGGTAGGAGAAGGTATCCCAGTATGAACAGGATGAAGGCCTGTCTGAATGGGGTCTGAGCAAAATGACATAAAATACAAGACATTTGGGAAATTTGAATGTCAGAGAAATAATAAATTTTATAGTATATCTCAAATATTATAAAGGGTATATTTGTACTAACATTTTTTGTTATTTATTTGAAATTCAAACTCATCTTGAATTCATCTTACATATTCATCTGGTAAATCTGGCAATTTTAGACCCAAGAAGGATGTAGGGCTGATCAGGATAATGAAATAACTGAAAGGGTAAATGTTAGGTTAGGTGTATTTTTTCTGACATCGCCAGTCCTGCAGATAATCCACTACTATTATAGATTACTGGACTATATTGGATTATTTTGCTGAATTCACGGACCTACAATATTTAAATGGCAATGGAAATATCCATCTCTGACAAAACTAAACAAAAAAAGGGGATATAAATGAAAAACCATTTTGTATCTGTATACACAAAATAGGATAGATATGTAGCTACTTTCTCTTAATTCAATGAGAAGAAAGATTTATACTAATATTGTTTGACCAGGACATCATGTCTGCATCTTGTACTATGAATAACCACTACAAAGACAACAATGTGCAATGTACTAATTATTGAAACTGTCCTATTAATTGGTTTTGAAACTGTCTCATTGCTATTTGTTTCTCAATAAAATTAATAATAAAATAATAAAAAATTAAATTAGAAAACTAATGCTCCAAGCCAAGCACAGTGGTGCATATCTGTAGTCTCTGTGTGCTGGGAAGCTGAGGCAGGATGATCTCGTTCATGTACAGCTTGGGCAAGTTAGTGACTTAGTGAGAACCTATTTCAAAATAAAAATTATTTAAAAAGATGAGGGGGGGCTGGTGAGATGGCTCAGTGGTCTAAAGCACCTACTTAGAACAAGCT